TCTACCTCGTAAAGTCCAAGGACGCACAAGATGCATTTATCGTATCTGGAATCCGTACGGTTGCGCTTGGGCTATCGCTTTACTTGATGTTTGCCCAACGCATGTATCGAGGTGTCGACATCATCCTGGCATGCATCGGAACTACCGGAATTCTTGACGGGTGGTTATGCTGGAAAGTCGGCGTACCTGGACGAGGAGTTTTCCGTGCTACCTGTGCGGTTTTGGTTGCCGGCTGGGGTTGGATGGGTATGACTTCAGCTTAGGCATCCTAGGGTGCACATACATAATAATGGCTTCAAGGTATTTGCAACAGACTTTCGGCCTTCTGTATATTATCATGTGCTCCAACCTTCAAGTGTAGACATTAAGTCACGATAATCCAAAAATTTTAAGCTTAGTAATACCCAATTTGCACCAACCTAGAAGCCCGGAAACGGTTATTATCGTTATCGATTATCGTCGATAGCTACCCATCTGCAAGCTCCTGCTGCTTTGAAACCATGTGTTGGGGTTCCACGGCACCTGGGATTACACCGCAGTTGATTTACATAGCTGCTTTCAGGAACCGGTTACCTTTCAGCTTTACTAGTTGCTTTGGATTCCATGTTCTCTACCCGTCCGTTTTTAACGGGCAGATGCATGTTATCCAGCTGGTCCATAGAACCCTTGTAGCTATCATGAGCTGTTTGCAGCTACCAAGGTAAGGAGGAGCTGTAGCTCTGAGCTTTCACACAGGATAGGCAGGCGTAGGATTTTCCTTTTCTGTGCTAAGAGCTCTCAACCGACCAAGTATCCCGATTTTTCCTTACTGGGATTTCGATCCCGATTGTCTCTAGGAATAAAGTTTATATATTCCTGTGTGCGTGCGAAAAAAAATTTTCACGTGGGATTTGGATCAGAATAGTTAATATGCTTAATGTAGCGAAAAACTCTGTTCAATATGAGCTCGATCTCTAGCTGTCTCGGGTAGAAAGGGCAATTAAGCGCCTCTTAAAGACCTATTCTATGAGAAACCAAAAAATTTTGACGCTCAACCATATGAGGCGCTTCGATACGATGGTGAGTTTAGCAGTCACCGTCTCAGAATATGAATTGTATCAATTATTTGTCGTTTATCCATGAGCAAGTTAGCGAATTTTGGATACCGTCTGTAAACTTGGCTGCCATACGTGGAAGTTTTTCGTCTATTTACTGAAATAATCTAATACGACATAAATGCCGAACCAGCGGCAACATACTCGGCTCTTCTAAGGGTTAGCGGACGTGGCAAAGAAGCCGACCCGTTTTTTTTTGTTCTTTCTCCCGTTCCTGAAGATCGGTATGGTTAACCCATGTTCCCTTTCGGTCAGCGCTAGAGAACGAGAAGGAAGCCCGGAAAACATATAAGTGTTGAGAAATCGAGACGAGTTCGCCGTTAAAAACTTTTTTTTCCCTATATCATTTTTTCTCAGCCGTTGAAATCGAGTAAGACATTCACATGTCCCTAGGCCCTATGAGAATATAAAATCGATAAGATAAGAGTGATCCTGGTTGCTGGAAAAACTTGCAGGCTGGGATCGCGCATTTGGACGTTGCAATTGGTTGTTCACAGAAGAAAAAAGAGCTGAAATCCAGGTGAAAATACAAAAAAATCTCCGTCTTGCGCTCAAAAATGGTAGACAAGATCTGCCCTTTTCAGCGCATAAAACGGTTAGAAACATGTGACCTTTAGCTCATAGTTAACGCTTTATACGCCGCGTGTATATAAGGCATATATTCAGTTTCACGAATGCAGCTTTTTCACATGTTATCACAATTTGAAAATAGTTAGTGTTATCACAGTGCGTTGGTCGTCTTTAACGCTGTCAATAAGTTCCGGAATGAGACGGTATAACCATCTTGGGATATCAAAGCAATATTGGTTTTTTCCGAGAAAAGGTCTTAATGCTAGTGTCTGAACAGGTTCTAACCTGTCAAGGAAAGAGAAACGTGATGCTCGACGATATGGATGAAGGGCGTAGAGCTTGGTGGTTTAACCCGACATGACTTAACGGGTTGCCGACAGTAGCTTGAATGGGGTTGTTACACGATCTTATTTTGCGTTGTTGTTGTATGCACTGGTCTCGTGGGACAACACCGTGTATGCACCAATTTATGAATATAAAGCAAAGACAGAGCTTCAAAGTCAAAATCTTTTGGGCTTTCAAGGAAATTTGACATCTGAAGTCATCTCATTGAACATGTTAAGCGGTAGAGTGGAATTCAGTCTCGCTTGGAAGATTCAACTGGCAAGCTCAGATACTTGGCACGCCCGAGCGATAATTACCAGACCATTAACAGAATGCCATTACTTGATCAGAATGCGCAAGTCCAAAATTCCGATTCGATCCCATTGCATCAGCATATTTTCCGTTTCATATATTAGCCGAAAGCACGGCGGCTGGACGGTCCTATATAGGCGAAGTCCCCACCGGCGAGGGATCCGTCTTGGTAGCACAAAAAAAATATAGTAATTTTTCTAAGGCTCCAATTGCAATCTGTGGGGAAGAGGAGAATTATATTATCTTACTATCGTAACGTTAATCTGTTGGTTCGGGATCTTCCGCCCAGACATATATAACGTTAACTTTACGATTTCCCCTCGCTTTTTGAAATTCTTGTTTGAAGCATTTAGCCTCTTGATTCCTTTCGTAGAACAGTCTGAGGGTATTTTCTCTCTCTTTCTTTCAGGGGCGAATATTATGTGCGGTGAAGAGCTTTAGCTGTTTTGTATTGTAGCTAGGGAAGTATAAATATAAATATAAGGTACTTCACTCCGACTGGATCTCTGAACTCGAACGTAGAACTCTCCAGTATTAATATCGCAAGTGTCATTTTCACCTCAAACGATTTCTCACAATACGTATCATCCGAAAATCAAGATGAAATTCACAACTCTTGCACTCACTGCCGTCGCTATCGGCCACGCTACAGCCGCATTCTCAGACACACTAGTACGATACCCCCCGTTCATACATACATACATACATACATAGTAGATCCGCATCGCCCCTTGTACATATATAGCGGACCGTTAAAAAAAAACGCCTCCAACTAACCACATTAAACCCCACAGTGCGGCGGAATCCGCTGGCAACCACGCACAACTTGTCGCACAGGCTCCACCTGCACCACCATTAACGTCTACAACGCCTTTTGCACCAAGATCCCTGACCCAGTATGGCCACGGAACGAGCCGCCCACTACAACATTCACTCCAACCGCGGCTGCAGCTCTCGAATGCGAAACAACCTTGACCACCTGCACTACGCTGTTGGTGTGTCCCAGGGGTTCGACGAGGACGTGTAAGGAATGGTGCGACGGACAGCCGAAGCCGACTTTTTCGCCTTTGGTTGTGCCGTGCAGTTTTAATAACAATCCTGCGGTGATAACGACGGCGGCTTAGAGTGTTCTTTTTTGGGGGCTTATGTTTTAGAATACGGATGGCACGACGGTTTAGGGGGCTGTACGTGCTAAGGCTGACTAGTGTGTTGATTTTGTGGCATTTTTTATCACCAGGGCTGGATATGCTATCAAAGGGACATTTTTATCGAAGTTTTGGATGTTGCAATTGTTGTATGATAGTTTAGCATCCCGTCTACATGGCGTGCATATTATGTGATACAAATCCTTTCAATTTATTTTTTACATTCATTTATATATCTCTAAATAATAACGTGTTGTTACTTCAGGTTGTTGCGTGTGTGCGATATCTATAGACCGAGACTAGATATCGATAGATTGATCATATATTGACACCTGTGGCGAGAACGATTATAAATCTTTTAGTGACTTGCTCGCTTGTATCGTTAAAAAAATTAAGTGGCCGAATCCCGACCAGTATCCATCAATGAAGTGTTAATACAATTGATATCCGCACGCGGGCCGGCATGCGCTCAAAATTTGACTTTATGGTTGGATTGAGGCGTTTGATTTTTTGGTTAACTCTCGGCGAATCAGTGCACTGGCTTGTGGGATTTCCAGTTTATTGGTATAGATACTATAACTAGTACTAGTATTTGGTGTTGAAACAGTACCGTATGCGCTGCTGTCATGTTGGGTACGGTGGTTTATGCTGGCCCCCCCTCCAATTTGCTACCTTCTGCTGGTTAGTGTCTACAGGAGTTTCTATTGACAGTGTTTAAAAACAATAGGAGTGTGGAGAAGCTCATAGAACACGTTACGTATATATTGTGGTTTTTGTCGGGTGGTTGGCGTATAATCTCATGTATTATAGGCTGACCTACCTAAGTTGTTTGAGGAGCGCTCTTGGTTGAATCTGTCAATGTTATAAAGAGCGTATCAACATCTGTCAAGATAGTTGACATTGACCAACTAGCCCCCCCGTTTGGGTCCAGACCGCAGGTTATATTTATACATTTATTTTGAGTACCGATAATGTGATGCGCAGTCGGGGTTCCGTTACCCATGACCGCGAGATTCGCAGTGAAGCCTGCCTGTGATGGCATAGTTATGATCTTTACTGTTTTAACAATCAGCCCTCGTACATATTGTGCTGGAAAAAGTATGCCCTTTTTTTTTCAATACCCACCGTCGTAATTGTATCAGTACCGGTCTAATACGCATTACCACATTGATTCTGTATTAATTCCGTATCAATCCCGTCCAGATTATGATTTTCAGTACAGTACCTTATACCATAACAAAAAAGAGAAAAAAAGAAAGAAAAAAAGACAAAAGATTAATATTGATCAATTCTATGGGAAAAAAGGCGATTCTCGAAGCCAACCCTCAATACCGATGTTATATATATCACTGCTGAAACGTAACGCAAATCCCTGCTCTCCTCGGCCCGGTTTGCCCTAACTAAACCTTCAAGCCAGCGTTACATCAAACTAAAAACGCGCGCGCCGGCCCCGCCACGTCAAATCCGAAATTTCAGAACGGCCTCTTCAAATCGAATTAAATCCAAAAAAATTACAAAACCAGACGTAAAAAATACCAAAAAGGTTTTTATGGGATGCTCCCATACGGATTTGAACCGTAGACCTCGACATTGCATATTCTTTGTTTCATTAGAGACTAACTAAGTAAGTTAGAATCCACTGTTGTTTGATATATACTAGTGTCGCGCTCTACCAACTGAGCTATAGGAGCTTTTGATTGATGGTTTTCGAGGTTGTAAATTGCATATTTAGATTTTGGAGATGAAGAGGAATCGATTATGCTAGGTTTTGGGAGAGATTGGTGGATTGAGGGGTGGCAATTGATCGTGGAAGGTGGTTGATGTCCTTTTTGTGACATCGTGGCTTCTTTTGGGGGGATTTCGTGAAAATTTTCTTCTTCTACATAGGTGTGCACACCAGTGCATACAGTGTGGTGACACTGTATGATGCAGAAACTACACACAACACATTTCAAGGTGATCATTACGCTGCGAAATTTCCATATAAAAAAAAGATCCTAGCCAGCTTCATAAAATCAACCACAATGACATAACTACCTGGCCCCCCTACCATACCATACCATACCATAACTCCCTAACAATGCCACCCGCACCCCTACCCCCCCTCCGCGTCCTCAAACTCCCGTTGACAAGCTACTCCCACGCCTCAAGACTCCAATCCATCCTCTTCAACCTCCACCTCCTCTACAAATCCTCTCTCAGTAATAATAACAACAATAATACAAAACCAGCTATCCCACAACCGCCACCATACCTCATCACCACCTCATTCCGCCCAGTCTACACCTTCGGCCGTCGCGAAGCCTCCAAACCCCCTCCAAAACCACTTCTAAACCTCCTATCCCAGAAAAGAGCATCAATAGCCTACACCCCTCGCGGCGGCCAAGTAACCTTCCACGGACCAGGCCAGATAGTAACCTACCCGATCCTTGACTTGAAACGTCATAATCTATCACCGAGATGCTATATCCGGGTTTTGGAAAATTCTGTTATAGCTACGCTTAAGGAGGTGGGTGTTGAGGGGTTTACGACGGAGGAGGCAGGGGTTTGGGTGCGTGGTGATAGGAAGGTTGCGAGTGTGGGGGTTAACCTTAGGAGGTGGGTTTGTAGTCATGGGGTCGCGGTTAATGTTGATACGGATTTGGAGTGGTTTGGGAGGATTGTGGCTTGTGGGTTGGAAGGGGTGGAGATGTGGTCTGTGAGGAGGGAGTTGGAGGAGAAGTTGAAGCGGTTAGAAGAGGGGGGTGGGAGGGATGATGGTGATTTAGGGCTAGTTGAGATGTTGGGGGAGGTGCCGGAGGAAGGGTTTAGGGGGAAGATAGAGGATGGGATTATATCACAGATTGCGAGTGGGATTGGATGTCAGGAGACTGAGGAGATTACAGAGGAGGAGGTGGAGGATCTAGGGAGGGAGTACGGACTATCTGGGGAAGATGGGGTGGAGTGGCTGAAGTTCTCAGATGAGACGGGTGGATATTACAGGGTGAAGGGGGATAAGATAGATCTGGAAGATCACCATCGGAGCTCCCAAGGCAGTGGTGGAGGGTGATGGACAAGCAGGATATCGATCTTGATGACCGGTGTGCCATTGGGTCTTGAAGACCGGAAAGTAGTAAGCGCCCTCCGTCCTCTTAACTTGATGTGAAAGACCGGGACAGGGTGCCTGACTCTGAACCACAAAGTTCTACTAGAAGCAGCCAGCGAGTATCTAAGATGACTCCGGAGGAATCCAAGAATTCTATTCATCAGCTCGGAGCAAGGAGAGGTGACATCGAGAGATAGGGCTAGCTAGAACGATGGACCCGAATCCTCCGAAGAAATCGTTCGCGACGGAATGGGGCTGTAAGAAGGTATCGAAGAGGGATACCGAAAAGTATCCTGGAGATATCGATAACTCCGAAGATGAAATGGCAATGCTATGAATGAAACGAGACCGCTCAACTGGGGGCCAAATTTAGACAGCGTTGGTAGTGTGATAGGTGCTGAGGAAGATGATATAGATATACTGAAGCAAAGAGGGCCAAAGAAGAAGATACAGAATTGACAAAGAGACCGCTCAAATGACGTCAAAGAAGAAACCAATAGCGCAATAGATGCTAGGGAAGAGGACATAGAAACATTGATGCAAAAAGGCCGTCCGAGGAAAGTCAAGGACGACAATACGGTACCACTCGACCCTACAGTTATTAGAAATGAAGCACCAAATACCCCAAGGAAACGAGGTCGTCGACTAGGGAAGAAAAACGACGACGAGGAGGAGTGACTGTGCTACAAAATTAACATTATAGTTTTACACATTTACGGAGTAGCTTTTTTTTTTTTTTTTTTTTTTTTGATGAGATGCGCGTCCATACACTTCAAAGTCAGATATCAGACCATTTGTATTCCAGTTCCCCATGATAGGTAGTTTACTAGGTTTCCTGGGTTGCGCGCCCTCGAGGTGGATATCAAAAATATTCAATCCTCTCGCACAGCGCTTAAAACACTGGCTTTAGCGAGACCACTTTAGACTCTATTTACGCTATTCTTACACCGTTAACAGCAGCAGCAGCATCATCATCCTCCTCGGGAAGACCCCAATCCTCAACACCACCCTTCCAGTCCGCGATCTTCCCGCCCTCAAGCTCAACAACTACAAACACACTACCTTCCTCACCTTCAACGTAACACTTCGCGCCTTCAAATTTATTAGCCTCCTTGTGCACCCCTCTGTAGTACTCCTCCTCATCACTTCCAGCGTTCAAAATCCTAGCGAACCCCCTGACGGTATGCGAATAACTCTGCAACTCGCTACTATTCATGTTCTGCAAGAACTGGGCTAGCGGAGACAGGCTGGTCGTCACGGGACTGGAAGGGCCCGAGGCGGTAGGGGGACGCTGGGAGATCCAATCGTGGACGAGGAGGGAGACTTGGGGGTTACTCGTGATGTTTTGGAGTTTTTTGGTGGTAGGGGACAGGAGCATGATGATGACGCCGGGACCGGAGGTGGAGGAGACGGCGGTGGGGAGGGCAGTGTTGGTGAAGGTTTTGGTGGGGGGGATGTAGGTGTAGTTCATGAGGGCGATGTGGGGGCGGAGGGTGGAGGTGCAGGTTGCTAGGTGCAGCTGTTTTCTCGTAGATACACACATACATACGTGTGACGGATATCCATTAGTAAGGGCATTGACAGCGCAACAAACAAGGGGGGAGATAGTAGTATATATATATATACTAGGTAGGTATATATATAGGTAAGTAGGTAGGTAGGCACTTACGAAACGGGCATTGTTGAGGCACGAGAGCACCTCGGGGGGCAATTGGCCCTCGTAGGCGCGTTGGGTTGAAGTAGCCATGGTTTTTTCTTTTCTGATGTCGTAATTGCAAGTGAAGCCACACTTCTTTAGTAGATTGGCTAATCAGGTGACGCAATTGTCCAGCTGGTAGTTTATCCGATATCTCTGGTGGTGGTGGTGAGGCTGAAGATGAACGCGAATGTAAATGTGAATGTGAATCTGAGTCGAGGATGGTAGTAGTTTGGTAGTGGTGTTGGTGACGACGGAGGGGGGAAGCTAACCAGGGGGGGTTGTCAATTGGTAATCCGGATTGCAGCCGAATTGCTCCAGTTATCTCTGTTTCCCCGCCAAGCTAGGTGGCAGCCAGCAGAACAGGACGTAGTCTCGAGACCCGAGCTTAGGTAGTTATATACAGCATTCCAGCCCTCTCTAAATACCTATTGTTTATACCTACCTAGGTACCAGGTATATATCAATTTCTTCTCCTTCTCTAGCTCAACTAGGAGTGTTTCCTACAGCTATCTACTCAAGTTACCTAGGTAGGTAGTTACGTAGCAATAGGTACCTATCTCTTGGGGTCCAGTCCAGTCCTAACAGAGACCAAGCTATCTATCCATCTATCGGACCCTGGCCATCAGATAACCCACTTCAGTTACCAGATTGGAGTCAGCGCACACGACGTCATTAGCCATCCCCCCTCAACGCAGGTCCGAGCGGCCAATCTGCATTAAAGCTGAGAGAGCTATACTAGGTACCCAGTTACTATTCAAAACAGGTCCCGCTACTTGCTCTTTCCCCGCAGAACAGCCCGATCAATTACGAGACATTACTGGATTGGATTGGATTGGATTCGAATCTGCCTGGCCTATCACGGGACTTCCCCGGATTCTGTCTTTCCCCCCCGCCTCTTCGATCTTCCCCCCCTCTCCTCTTCTCCGCGACTAGCTTTCCTCTTTCCTCTTTCCCTCTTTCCCTCTTCTTCTCCTTCTTCTGCTCCTACTCCCCCTTCACCATCCGTAAATCTAAATAATACCATCACTATGTTCCGCCCAGCTCTTCGCCCGCTTTCCCGCCGTCTCCCCTCTTCTTGTTCTTCTTTTGTCCGCCCTCTGTCTGCTGCCGCTCCGCTGCTTAACAAGTCATCCCCCACTCCCACCCCATCCATCGGCCAGCTCCCAGCCGACTCCACAACTCGCTTCGAAGCCAACCTCGCAGCTTTTCGCGAAAAACAAGCTTCCCAGCAGGAAGCCGCCCGCCAAAAAGCAGCAGAAGCTGCGGCAGCCGCTCGTGCTGCTGTCGCGGACCCAAAAAGTCCTGAAGCAGCAGCTGCCGCTGCCGCAGGAGGCGCCGAGGGAGGACCGGACATTAAAACTGGCGGTGTCTTCTCCAAGCTTCTTCACGGATCGAGTGAGGCACAACACGATACTTACCAAATCCAGGAATCCTTTTCGAAGGTGCTCGCTAGAGGAAAATATGTGCATGAGCTGGTCTTTCACCGCGTGAGGCCTGATAAGGTCGATGAGTATGTCGAGCTTATTGGTAACGAGTACCCTCGGGTTGCGAATGACCCCAAGGCCGAGGTGAAGCTCGTTGGTAGCTGGAATACCGAGATCGGTGAAGGCGATACGTTTGGTAGGTCTTTTTTTTATTTTATTACTACTATTATTATTAAATGCGAGATGGTATCGTAATATCGCTATAGCAATAGCGCGCTGATAAATATTTAAAAAAAGTCCATATCTGGGAATACAATGGCTACTCCGGCTACCACTCCACCCAACGCTACCTCGACACCCTCCCGCAGACCCAAAAATACAAAAAGGAAGTCCGCAAATACCTCCAATCGCGCTCCAACTCTCTTGCTCAGGAGTTCTCATTCTGGCCTACCACCCCTCCGAGGGCGTTGGGAGGTGTATTCG